TCCTTATATTCCTGTGATGCTTCTCAAATTAGATCTTAACTTGATTTATTTGCAGATCTTCTGAGAGGAAGTTTAAAGATGTGTAATTCAGCATTAGCTGGAATAAAAAAAGTTACAATCTTTACGTCATGGATGTCAGTTAACTAAACACAAGTCATTAAAACAACTGAATTTCATAAGTGATGATGAAATTATTTGTGCAAGTATACAAAATTACTACTAAGCATAACTTGCCTCCAGCTGCTCCCTGAACTGATTATCGTGCAGTGACTATACCATGTGCTAACGTTATGGAAGGACAAGATGATGGTGCAGGGGACAGTTTTACATTGTACCCAAGGCTCACGCAGATTCCACACAGATATGGTGACAGGCAAAAAGTGGCATTGCTGGGACACATAGAGATCTGTGTCTGCTTCGTGTCACTACTGCAGGACTTTTGGTGGATATGATCTGGCTTTCTTTAAAAGTGTATTTTAGTATAGGGTCTACAGGGTCTTACTACATAGATCGGACTCACAGTGATTCTCCTATTTTCAGCCTCTCAAGTGTGGGGATTACAGGTGAGCACCACCACACCTAGTCTCAATGGTCATCTCAGCACACCCCGTGGGCAGGGCTAGCACAGCAGGCCAGGGATCAAACCCCAGCCGCTGAATTCTGCCTAAGCAGGTGCTTTAGTCTGCTGAGCTAACTGGCTGGCCCAGTGGAGATGATTTAGAGGGTGGCACCAATGGAAGGGACAATGGAAGGGAGACAGGAGCAGTCTGACAGGGAGGCAGAGCCCAGGACACAGGCAGGCAGGAGGCACCAGAGACAAAAATCCAGAATATCTGGATATTTCTATTCCATGCTAAGGAATCAGAAGTTTACTTGGAGGCAAAAGGTATACAAATGACAAAACCAGTGACAAGAGGCTTTAAAACTTGTCAAGCGACACTGCACAAGCTGGAACTGCCTGACTCCTCCTAGATGAGTGGGAATTCTGACCATGAAGGTGAGAAACTGATGGAGCCTGTTTTTCAAGGACAGCTTCAGCCTGCAGCTGAGTCTCAGGGGAGAGTCACAGAGGAGAGGAAGTAGTACCAGGGAAAGAGACAGGCTTTCTGAGACTTTTCAAAGGTATAAAACATGGCAAATGAGGAACCTGGGTTCTGGGGTGGGCAGAATTCAGTACTGGGGATCAGTGTATCTTTACTGGAAATGTTTGTATTTCACACCTTTCATTTGATGTTACAAAGCACTGAATGTAGACTCTAGCACATAATGAAGGAAAAGAGATGCTATTCACTTTTTATGGCTTATTTTTAAAAAACAATATACATTCAATTTATATACTTTGGGAACATACCTTTTCTTTCTTCTTTACTTACACTGTTTTCCAACACTTGGTGCATCTAAAATAAACATTTGTAATGTTTAAGTTAAATAAGAGATACTTTCATGGGAATAATATATATCACTTAGAAATGTAATCTGTAAGACTTTTTAAAATTAAGCTTATTGGTACATTTTAGGTAAAAATAATGATCATATTCATTATAGCAAATTTGTATTTGTACACGTAATTTGATCTCCCCTTCTTTTTCCCATTCCTCTACCTTTAAGACGTTTCATTTTATTTATTTATTTACTTTATGCAGGGTCTCACTATGCAGTTCAGACTGGTAGTGATCCTCCTGTTTCAACTGCCCTAGTACTTGGACTACAGGTGTGTACCAACATGACCAATTTCGGAGCCAGTACTGTGTGCCCCGGGTTCTGGGGTGGGCAGAATTCAGTACTGGGATCAAACTTGGGTCCTTGCACTTGCCAGGCAGTTACTTAGACTGCTGAGCTATTGGCCCAGGCCCTTTAAGACTTCTAGAGACAAGATCTAATTTGAAGAATGCTTAAAAATTTCATAAAATTCTTACTTTAAGTTTACAAACTAGATATACATGTCAAGTACTATTAGGTTATTCTCACAAGTACAATTAATACTCGTTGATTAAAGCAAAAAAGTGAGAAAAAGTTACTGTAATCCAGCAAGGAAAATGTATCTGAAAGTGTATCCTAACTCAGTACAATTGTCTTATGTATTTTATACATTTTTGGCCTGTTACTCAGCTTTTGATCTGTATATATTATAATTAACTTTCTAAATTATAAATAAATTAATCCAACACAGGCAAAAATAAAAAGGGAAAGGAGGAAAAAGAAAGAAAAGCATTAAAATGTTATGAGAAGTACTGATTCCCCAGAATTAATGCAATAACTATGTATGAAAAATACACACTAATAAATGTCAAAAAAAGAAATCGATCTATTAAATATGTATGACGTTTTATTACGGCAAAGTATAAGGCTCATATTGTATAGGTCTTATCAAAACTCTTACTAAAATAAAACTTTAAGCAGTTTTTTCACTTTAATAGATTTTTCCGGAATTTAACTCTACTTTTAAAGTAATTAAAGTTACCATATATGATGAACAATTTTTTAGTACAGAGGTTGAAATACAGAAATGGATACAGTTATACTGTAATATCATGCAAAAAACCTACTGGCAAAAGATTTTAAGCAACATGCTATTTCAATTGTGACCAAATAAATATCTGTTAGCATACAAAGCTTTCACAAAACTTGCTTAACTCCACAATACCTCCCCCACCCCGCCCACCCAGTAGGAATTTCTGCTGTGTTCCAGGAACCCCTAGACTCAGTCCTAGCCCAGATCCAGTGAGTATATGGGAGAGCTTCCGGCTACCCTACACCAGCGGGACCAACTCGGGCTCCCAGCCCAGGTGCAGCATAGGTGAGACCATCTTCCACCCCCATGGGACACCCCCCACCACTCGGCAGCACCTCCCCCACCCTGCCCACCAAGTAGGAATTTCTACCACATTCCGGGAACACCCAGACCCAGTTCGAGCCCAGACCCCATGAGTGTATGGGAGAGGGGCCTCTCCCCCCTACTCCACCTTGTCCCCTCCAGATTCAGCTTAGGCCTGGCATACAGGCCTGGGGTGTAACCCTGCAGCTGCAATCCATACAGAGAGGGTAGAGGATAGAACCAACCAGCTAGTCCAAGAACAGGACATCTTGCCACAGGGGCACAAAAGATTCAAGCTCAAGGGCAGCAGCAGGAAGGAGCTGAGCACAGCAGCCAGACCCAAGCCAGGCACAGATGGATAAGTCCAAACTTTGTAGAGCTGCACCTGAACTTCAGTACATGCTAAGGTTATAACTACAGCGAAGATCTACAACAAAGGTCAAAACACAGTGCTACACAAAATGACGAGAAAGAACAAAATGCAACCTCAGAACCCAAGCCCACCCATAACAAGTGCAGAGGACACTAACACAGAACAAACTGTGAATCACACAGCTGAAAGCAATGAATCAACAGCTTCTGAAATAAAGAAACAGCTGCAGAAAGGTACAAAAGAACTCACACTGGAAATAAAACAAGAAATCCCTGAACTAATAACATCTGCACTGAAGAATCAAAGGCAGAAACATATGGAGGAAACCCAGTGCCCACCTAGAACAAGTGCGGAAGACACTAGCTCAGCTCAAATGCATTAATTAATAGCGTCGATAGTAAATAAGCAGCAGCAGAATGATATAGAGGAAATCAGAGCGCAACTCTTTGCTGAAATAAAGAATTCTCACACCTCATAGCATCTGAAGTAAAGAAGCAACTACAGAGACAGGAAACACAGTCAGAAAAAAACACTGTAAAAGAATTTATAACTGCTTCTAAAGAAGACATTGATAAAAATAATAGAGGAGATTAGAAAAAAGACAGATTAATTGAATGAGCAATTCAGGAAAGAAACAGACGTCATGAGGCAGAGTCAAAGAGATATAGAGGAAATGAAAACCTCAATCACAACCTTGAAAAACCGTTTAAGTGAAAATGAAGACAGAGTTTCAGATATTGGAGATGCTGGTGCAGCTAGTGAAAAGGTAAGAAAGGATCTCTTAAAAACAACGAGGAT